AATATTTGAACAATTTAGTTTAAGTTTCTAAAAATTCTGGTAACTTAAAATTTCCGTAATTTGTTATAAACTTATCTATACAATTTAAAAGATTCCAAATATAGTATATGCTATTTATTTATTTTTTTTAATGAAGTTCATCAAATGTTCAATTACTAAAGCAGCTCTTATTATTGGTCTAAAATTTTAAACAGCTTTCATTTAAGGAGTTTCTAAAAGAGTTTGCCTTTCTTACGATAACTTGGATAGAATTATTTAAATCTTACACTTAAATTATTATTTATGAAATTTCTAGTTAAACCTTAAGATAAAATTCTATATATAAGATATATCAATTATATTTTTTTAAAAAGTTGTTACAATTATAAATAATATATAATGGAGACATTTTTAGATTTAATTTCTTTTGGACTTATGTGGTGTTATTAAATTGCGCATTTATTGTTTTTCTTCAATTTCCTTGTTTATTTCTCTCAAAAATCATTTTAAGGAACACAGTTTTTATTATTTATTTTACTGAATATAGTTCTATACATAAGATAGTAATTATTAATAAGTATTAATATCAAATATGCAGTTGGATTAATTTTGAATAATTATTTCACTTTTTTTAATTGAATGTTAGATTAAAGAAGGATGAGTATTATATTGCAGATTTTCTTGATATTGCCTTATACATTTAAGAAAATTGAAACACTATGTCAAATCATAATTAAATTTCCATATTCTCCAATTATTTTATAATTTCAATATATTTTTTACAAGTTTTTCTCCAATTCCAATATCTTTTTCCTAATTAATCACATTTTCAAATTGAATTTCAAGCTTTTAATGAAATCCAAATAACGAAAATAAATCCAATACTTTTGATTTTAATTTTCCTCTACAAAATATCTCTAATTCATTATTATCCAAATTTAATTGAATCAGAATGAAATAAAATAATAAATTGTTTTAAGACATTGATTTGCTTTATAAAAAGGAAGATTATAAATTTTTCATAGTTTTTATGGATTACTAAAGGAGAATTTCATGGAACTTACATCACTTTCATATTATTTATTCTAGTTTTTATTTATCTAATAATTATATTTTTATTAAAAAATAATCTAAAAAGAAAGATCTCGTTTATATACTCAAATTTACTGTCATTTTTACATGTTCCAATATATATATAAAAATGGTATCTTTGAAATTTTACATAATAAGAAATAAATTTAGTTCATTAACAACATCTCCAGCTAATTAACAATTTAATGTTATAATAGTATGCTTTTCAGGTAAAATCAAAATAACAAAATTTCAAGATCAGAATATTTTGAAATATCAATTATTAGACAATACAATGAAAATATGTGCACAACCTATGTGTGCTACATAAATTTATGGATGAAATGACATTAATTCATACTCCTCTCCAAAATTAAAGAGCTTTAATATGTTCCCTTCCTCTCTCACTCTTACTTCTCCTTAAAATTCTCTAATTGAATTTAAAAAACGAGCTAGATTAAGCTCCTTGCCTGCTCTTAATATTCTATATATACTCCCATCATTGATCAATTATACTAGATTATATCTTAGTGCTTCCTTCGTAATTATGAAATAATTTTTTGTTAAATATTTGAATTATTGTTCCTTTTATGGATGGGTAGCGAAAAAGAGTTAACCCTTTATAAATGTTCGGCTCCTTTGATATATTTATTTTAGCCTTTACCTCAAGCAATTAAGATGTACCTACTACTTAAATAAGGAGCAAATTTTTTTTCTGAATGAAGAATTCAAAGAATTACTTAATTCTCGAAATTAAAAGAGTGTGATGAAAAGAGGATAAAATTAATTTTTAATGTAAATCTTATTTATCCTCAATTTTAATTTGTCCAATTATTAATTACTTTATTAATAATCAAAAGTATCCCTCAAAATTTTTATTTTCCAAATTAATTTTGAAATTTAATTCTGACAAGTTAACAAAATATTTTGAAGATATACATATATGCTATGTTCAGTTTTATCCTAAAATTCAATTTCATAATTGGTCCTTATTTTCTTATCGATGAATTTATTAATTTATACCATTCTTAATTCCTTATTATTCCAGTATGATAAAAATATATCTTAACAAATGATGAACATTAGGCTGAAGTTATTTTTTCGGAGATTAAGTAAGACATAAGAAAATTTTTTTAATGAATAGCTAAGTAGATGCTGGATAATAATAAGAAAAGAACTAATATAAAGAAAAGATTAAGATTAAAAATACTCAAATCCATTTAAATCATCACAATTATAAGAAAATTAACTCGATAAAACAAATTATGCATGAATTTTATGATTGATTATGATATTAAGTTAATCAATTATTAGTTATAATGTTAGATCTCATCAGCCTACTATTGAATTTAAGTTATTATCAACAAAAATATTGTTTTAGAACAAGTAAGCAAACATGGTTTGTTGAATAATATAATACTTAAATGAATTGTAAATAAATTAATCTTTTATTTAGTAAAAAAATTCATGAATTTTGTTATCAATCGAAATTCCAAATTATATGTGTACTATTCATATATTATTTTTTATTTTCTTACTTAACTTATTTATATAAAGATCTTATATTAATCTAAAATAATAACATATTTATAATATTTATACAATCAACGAAACCAGGAAATGTCTCTATTTTCAATTTTATAAGAATATTGAATTACATTAACTTATTTTAAGTATCATTTAGGATGTTTTCTAGAATGGAAAATTATTTAGTAGTAAAATTAAAAAAAATATTCCTTGATTAAATGTGAAGATAAAATAAAGCTAAATATAAATAAATATATTCTGTTTAATTTTATAAATAATTAATTAATTTTCTATAATTAAATTGAATAAATCTTATAGGTTTAATTATCTCCCTAATATATGATAGAGTGCAATTAAAACTTTCCTCTACAAACGATGATATTAATGTGAAAATTGACCTATCGATTTTTCAAAAATATTTTAAAGTCAAGTAATGAGTAAAGATTTTAATAATTATGCAATTATTTTTAAATCATATTTTTTAACAATAACATTAAATATTCGTCATATCTAATAATAAATCTGCTATAAAGCAAAATAGTGATTTACTATTCAAATTTTAAATTTTGTTAATTAATCTTCCAGTATTGAGTTTTTGTCACTCTCTTAGTTTTTTTTCATTTATTTATGTTTAGTTCGATATTATTGAGACCTAATAATATTATCTTCATATACCTTAAAGTTTATGTATATTTTATTCCAAATATTGAAGTTTTATTACATCATATAATAAATTATATAAAATTCATAATAAATAATTTAATTATCTTAAAATTTTTTAGATGATACAGTTTGATGAGTAATAATATAAATAAAATCCTTAAAATTTTTCATTTAACTCAAAAAATAGAATGAGATAGAATAACAGCTATTTTTTGTTAATATTAAGTGGAATTCTCTATTAAAGTAAACAGAAAAATATTTTTAGCAATCTGTTGTCCAAGTTCATGTTAATAATGCAATGGTAGCAGCTCAAATTGTAATATTTGTAATCCAGGTTTCTTTAAAATTGGAAATGATTGTTATGCATGTACTAAACCATGCGCAACCTGTTCAACAAGTGTTACAACCTGCTCTTCTTGTGTTGATTCTGCAAATTAAGTAACTCCTAGTTGTGCATGCAATAGTGGGCTCATAATGAATGCATCAACATTTTTTTGCGAAGGATGCCCAAGTAATTGTAGTGTGTGTAGTACTACAACTATATGTACTTAATGTAATGATGGCTATTGGTTAAATGTTAACTCATGTAGTCCATGCATAAAACCATGTGTAAATTGTTCATCGAATGGAAATAATTGTAGTAGTTGTGTTGATACTGCGAAACAAACACTGTCTCTTTGTAATTGTCAATCAGGTTATATAATGGATACTACAAGTTACTTATGCATTTAATGTGTATTTCCATGTGCTACATGTTAAACAACAGTAAATTATTGTTTAACATGTGCTGCAACATATACTATAGATTCGAGCACTCATACATGTTCATGCTTAACTAATTAATATGAAGTAAATGCTACAACAAAATCATGTCAAAATTGTACAAGTCCATGTGCAACTTGTACATTATCTGCAACTAATTGTGGTTCATGTGTAACTGGATTAAATAGAAATCTATAAACTAATTAATGTGTTTGTGATGATGGATATTATGAAAATACTACTTGTTAACCATGTTAAGAACCATGCATTTATTGTACTTCATTATCAGTATGTACATCATGTAAAGATCCGACTTATTAATCAGGATCATCATGTGTTTGTTAACCAACCTATTTTATGAATGCCTCTTTTATGTGTTAAAGTTGTGTTGCGCCTTGCTAAAATTGTACTTCAGAAACTCTATGCACATCATGTGTATAAAATTATTACATTTCTGGAAATACTTGTTTATAATGTACTGCACCATGTTACAATTGTGTAGATCTACCTACAAAATGTACATCATGTGTTGATTCAAATATAACACCAATCAATAATGTATGTAGTAGTGGTGGTTGTTCTGATGGATAATTTATGGATGCATCATTAAATTGTCAACCTTGTATTCACCCTTGTCTTAAGTGTTAAACAAATGGTAATCATTGTTTAGAATGTGCAACTACATTTGAAATGAGTACTTCTACTCCAAATACATGTGTTTGTCCTGCACACAAATATCTAGTAGTAACTAATAATCCTACTGATTGTCAGTCTTGTACTTAACCATGTGATACATGTTCAGGAACAGCAGATCATTGTTTAACATGTATAGATAATATTAATTAAACTGTTGATGCATCTAATGAATGTAAATGCAATCCTGGTTTTATAATGAATGGAATAAATTGTGATGCTTGTCTAAATCCTTGTCTCTAATGTTAAGGAACTACAAATTACTGCACTGAATGTAAAGATAGTGAACATTATATATCTAATGGATAATGCATTTGTAATCCTGGTTTCATAAATGATAATAACTATGATTGTATACCTTGTTAAACTCCTTGTTCTACTTGTTCAGTAAATGATACTCATTGTGATAGTTGCAAAGATCCTAATCATTAAATTAATGCATCTTTTCAATGCATTTGTAAAGACACTTACTATTCAAATACTATTGATACATGTGCATCATGTGTATAACCATGTGCATTATGTGACATCAATGGATGTTTATCATGTATTGATACTAATTAAATAATAAATTCTTCTAAGAATTGTGTTTGTAAACCAGGTTATTATTAAGTAGGCTTAAATTGTTCATAATGTGTAACTCCATGTTAAACTTGTGAAATCAATTAGGATCATTGTTTAACATGCACTGATATTCATTAAACTCAAATCAATAACTAATGTATATGCAATGATGGATATTTTGATGTCAATCATATTTGCTAACAATGCTAATCTCCTTGTACAAAATGTCAATTTTCTAATGATCATTGTCTTTAATGTTTAGATCCAAATCATGATTTAATCAATAATAAATGTGTTTGTAAATTTGGATTTGGATAATCAGGAACTGATGGAACAACTTGCTCTCTTTGTTAATACCCCTGTCTTGATTGTTCAACAAGTGTGAATACATGTGTATCTTGCATTGATACTATTATATTCCATCTTGATAATGAGAAATGTTTATGTTAATAAGGTTATTTTCTAACTGGATCTAATTGCATATAGTGTTCACCACAATGTTCCTCCTGCATTGATTAATCAAATAAATGTTTAGGATGTTCTGATCCTAATTAAGTGTTGAATCAAAATGATTGTTTATGTCAACCAGGTTATTTTAAAAATAATTCTATGAATTGTGAACTATGTTAACTTCCTTGTTTAACTTGTGTATCTAATGAAGATTATTGTACATCTTGTTATGATTAAGAAAAGTAATAAGTAATTGGAGGATAATGTGTATGTATAGATGGATATTATATACTGGATAATAAATGTGAAAAATGTAATTAGATCTGTAACAAATGTAGTTCATATAATGATTGTAGTGAATGTATAGATGGGTATTATTTATAAAATTAATAATGTTTAAAATGTTAAACCCCTTGTTTATCATGTTTTGATGCATATAATTGTTAAACCTGTATTGATAATTACACTATGAATAATCTTGGAATATGTATTTAATGCATCTAAAATTGCAAAAATTGCATAGATTCAATTAGTTGTATAAGTTGCTTTGATAAATTTTATTATGAAAATTAATCTTGTATTCCTTGTTCTAATAAATGTTAAACATGTGAAAATGATTCAAATTTTTGTACTTCTTGCAACAATACTATTTAAATATTAATAGATAATTAATGTTATTGTTAAGATGGTTATTTTGAAGATGGTTAAGATTGTAAACCTTGTGATCAAATGTGTAAAAGATGTTAAAATTTATAACATTGTACTGAATGTATTTAATCAGATCATGTTATTTTATAAATGAACGTATGTGTTTGTTAAGATAGTTATTATTTAGATAATAAATCATGTTAATTGTGCGATAAAAAATGTAAAACTTGTACTTAAAAGTCTGATAATTGTTTAAGTTGTAATTCTTAAATGAATAGATTAAAATAGTAAAACACTTGTATTTGTTAAGATGGTTATTTTGAAAATGATAATTATGATTGTTGGCCATGTGATTCAGATGAAGGAAAAATCAATAAGAATTGTAGATATAAAAATTGTAATGATAAAGTATGGACATATGAAGAAGAATGCGATGATGGTAATGATGATTCTAGAGATGGTTGTACTAATTGTAAGATAGATGAGTAATATTCATGTATAAATATTCTCCTTTAACCGTCATTTTGTTTCAAATGTAGTGAAAATTGTTAAAAATGTTAAATGATTGAATCTAAAAACTTATCTGCATGTATTAAATGTCATCAAGGTTATTTTTTACTTTAAGATAAATGTATCTAATGTTCTGAAAAATGTTTAGATTGTAAAATTAGTGCTTCCAATTGCATAAGTTGTAAATACTAATAAAATTAATAAGGAGAATGTTAATTATGCCAAAGTGGATATTATTTTGATTAAATTAATAATAAATGTAATTCTAAATGTGGAGATTCTTTTAAAACAATAGAAGAAGAATGTGACGATGGTAACTTATTACCAGGAGATGGATGCAATGAAAAATGTAAAAAAGAAAAGAAATTTATATGTAAAGATGGAATATGTATTATTCCAGAATATCCTGTTCCAATTTTGTTGAGTTATGGTGATACTTAATTGTATAATAAAGTTAGAAGATTTAAATTAGATTATAATTTATTTCTAAATATCTCTTAAGAAAGTTAGGTGGAGAAAATGATTAAATTATTTATAAAGAATTAGATGAATCTATATCCTATTGATTGTCCATATGAAATGTAAGCAAATTATACTTTAAATAATGAATCTAAAATGAGTTTATCAATAGATTTTTAAATATTTTTTAATCGTAGTACAACAAAAGAAGAGCTATTAATCCAATATTTAAATCCTTCAGATTTTATATCATATTAGGGATACTCATAGGTATTATCTGAAGTATCAACAACCATTCCAGAATATATATTTATTGACTAAACATAAGCAACCTAAGTTGAGATGGCTGCATCTAGCAATTAGATATTATTGTATATTATGGCTGTTATGGCTGGAGGAGCAATTTTATTTGGTGGATTAGACATTTTTTATAATCTATTAGATACAATATAAATGTTATCATACTTAAAGTACATTAATACTTAATTTCCTTTTAATTTATAATCATTTTTTGAATTTTTTAGTTTTGCCTAACTAAGCTTTTTCTCCAAATATTTGAATCTTTAAGAATTGATCGATCCATATATAAATTATGATGATCTTTATTAAATACCTGAAAAAATTTAAATTGACGGTCTAAATTCCCTATTTATCATAAATGGAACCTCAATCATTTTTGTATGGATAACACTACTTGCAGTATATACATTCTCTAAATATCTACCACATTTATTACATCAAATTAAATTAAAATATTATAATGAAATACCTGGAGATTTTGATTTTGCCTTAAAATGTAAGTTTTGGATATTGGCTCTAAAAATATTTATAGTTTAATTATGTTTAACTGTTGTATAGGAATTCTTCTATAGTGGTATTTTAAGAACATTTTTTGCAACAGCTTATGATTACTCATTTTCAATGACCCTTTAACTTTATGCCTTAGAGTTAAATTCAAAAAATTTGCTCGTAAGCTTCAGTTCTTATCTAGCCTTATTAGCATTGGGAATCTATTTATTCACAATTTTTATAATTATTAGAAAATGTGGAAGCTAAAAATTTTCACTTGAAGAATATTAAAATAAGCTTAAATTCATTTCACTTTTTGAAGGAATAAAAAATGACTATTACAGTAAATATTTTTATGCCATAAGTCTAGCTAAAAAGCTTATATTCATGCTTATTCTAATATTTTGTTATAAATAGCCTTATTTTTAAGTGATCAATTTAATTCTCTTGTCTATCTTAGAGATAATATGGTTACTTTTATTTAAACCCTTGGAGGACATAAATGAATTTTTAAAATAAATTTCATGTGAAATTAATAAATCTATTGCCCTATTTTTTATTTCAGGGTTAGTTTTAGATTAAGAAGTAAAATTATTTAATGAAAATATTCGTTCTACGATTGGATGGATTTGTGTAGGAAACATCAGTTTAATTTTGATTATTTAATTAATAATCGATGCTATTTAGTAATGGATATTCTTGATCAAAAAATATAAATAATTTAGAAGGCTTGTAGAGAAATTTTATCGATTTTTGCGTCCTCAACAGTAAAGAGCTCCCCATTCAGTATTTATATTTGCAAAGTGATTTAACTTGTATTTTTTATTTTTTTAATTAGAATTTATTATTATTTATATAATTTAATTTTTAAAGATAATCGATTTGGATCAAGGTCTTGCTATAATGAATATTTGCTAAATATTAATCTTTTCAAATATTAATTTTTTCAACAAACAATCATTATTATTTTTTTAACAATTAGAAAATTTTGAGGGAGATTTTACGAAAGTTTTTTTTAAATAGCAGATGAGTAGCTCCCTAAAGATCATGGAAGTATTGTAATCTTAATAAACCCATTTATTTTTATCCATATATTCTTTTTATTTTTCTTCTGTTTGTAGAATTCTAATTAATTTGAATCACATTTATTTAATTATTTTTGTTACATTAAATTCTCATATATAGTATTCGTATTACTATAAAATACATGAGCCACCTAAGAATTTAACATATTATTTCTCTTTGAAAAAATAGTTGCTGTCTCAATTCCATTATTTAAAGAAAGCATAAATTTACAAGTTAAACATGATTTTTCTTTATGAAACTAAAGAACCAAGAATCTGTATTATTTATATTTAATATATTGTATCAAATACAAAAAAAACTATTGATTCTACATAATTAGAATTTATACAAAATTTCCCCTGAGTCATGAATAATTTTTAATGATTGTTATTTCTTGCATATATTTTCCCTTAATCTAAAAGCTCATTATAATTGAATTGAATTTTTTGATATGAAAAATAAAATAAAAATCAAATCAATTTTATAAGTAATCTCTGTATTTGGCTGTTAATCCCCATATCCAAATCATATCATTCATATCAGGTGTATCATTATACTTTTCAGGATTTTAATTGCACGAGAAGTGAGCCTTAAATGCTTTTAACACATCTGAAAATTATTTGGTGATAACATTAGTTTCTTGAATATCGTATCCATATTTTTTTAAATGTCGAGATAGAAATGATATACTTACTTTTTCTGGCAATGGCTCTTCAGGATCATATTTCTTAATCCCATCAATAGTTTATTCTTCATCTTTCAACCATGCCCCAATTCCATAAATATTATAGAGTTTACCCCAAGGAAAAAAAATACCTGGATCAATTTTTCTATTTGGAGCTATATCTGAATGCCCAAGAATACAAACTGGAGATATTTTGAATTTTTGTATTATAATTCTGCATAGCTATGCTAAGGCAATAATTTGCTAATTATCAAATGGAACAAATTAGTTTTATTTATTCACTCCTTCATTCACAAGCTCTATTCCAATAGAATTTTCATTTAAATTAGACATATTTTACCATTTGCTAATTCCAGCATGCCATGCTCTCTTTTCTTCAGGTACGATTTGAATTATTTTTCCACTGGGAATTTGAAATTATTATTCTTATTAGGTGATAACATATGTAGAACTAACAGCACCAACATCTATATTACTAGTAAACACTTCTAGAGTTCTATAAAAGTTTATAACTGTATAGTGTATAATTAGAGTTGTAATTGGAGTGGAATCCCCTCCTGATCTATCATTATAGTGATTTTTATGTTTTTCAGAAAATCTTGGGACTTTATAGATAACCATTTCATTTGCTATTTTTTCTGCAACTAATGATATTCTTGTTGCTCTTTCAACTTAAGCTGCAAACACATCCTTGAATATTTATTTTAACTAAGAATTTTGATTAGCAGCTAATAAGTTGTTCCCATCTATATTTACATCAACTATCATTATTAAAAATATTAAATAAATTGTATTTTTAATTATTATTTTTAATTCTATTACTCCGTTAAATAGTAAATTTGAAAATGATAATACTTTGATGGAATATGTAAAATTTTTTATTAAGTTAAATGTCATGGCCATTCTGTTTTTATCTAAACCAAACCTACCTTCAGGATTAATAATCCAATCTATTCGAAATTTCAATATCTATATTTATAATACTATAAGGTTATTTCTTTTTCCATATTTTAAAATATTTTTAACAAAATGAAAAATAATTCACATCATATTCCAATGAAAGAATTTTTGTTTAAGTAGGAAAGAATCCTCCATTATATTGTCTCTTAACTCCAAAAAAAAAGGTCCTAAGATTTTAGTTATTTTTAAATGAGTTAATAAAATCTGAAGGTGATACAAATAAAATTTCCTTTTAAAAACTTGCTTAATATAAAAATCAATCGAAATATAAAATACAAATAATTAATAATCTTAGAAAGTATTAAAAAAAATTAAGATAAAAAAATAAAAACAAATTGAATGTTGTTTTAACAATTGATGAAGATAAAATTTTACAAATAGATTTAAATATTAAATTAAATACTTACTATTTATTATTAAGGTAATTATATTAAAAAATTTTTTTGTAATTTCAATTTATCTATTTCATCTATCTCTTTAAAATATTATTTTTGTTATAAAACTATTGTTAGAAGGTATAAATTTAAATTAGAAACTAAAGTTAATATGAATATAAAATATTTAAATAAATTTATTCAAAAGGATTTCAAAAAAAAAAGGTGTAATTTCATGTAGATCATCTTCAGGAGCTGATTGGGAGATAAATTGAAAAATTTAATAAAAGTTTATCAATTTTATCATAAATATTTTTTATTAGTTATCTCAAAATTAACAATTATATATTAATGAATTTAATCATAACTTATTTATATTAGTCATTTAAAAAAAATACAATTA